GAGAGACCATCCCTTGTGCACTGTCGAGAAAATGCCACGCCAGTTGTGTTTGGACGACCGTCGCGCGCAGCGGCCGCGGTGAGAGACCATCCCCTGCGCACCTCATACGGTGTCGAGAACGTGCCACGCGTGCTGTGCCGTGGACGACCGTCGCACATAGCGGCCGCGGTGAGAGACCACCCTTTGCGCACCCTCTATGGTGTCGAAAATGCCATGCCTGTTGAGCCTGGACGACCGTCACGCGTAGCGGGCGCGGTGACAGACCCCCCCCTGCGCACCCCCTACGGTGTCGAGAACATGCCGCGCCTGCTATGCCCCGGACGACCGTCGCGCATAGTGGCCGCGGTGAGACACCACCCCTTGCGCACCCTCTTGTGGTGTCGAGAGAGAACCACGCCTGCTATGCTCTGGAGGCCGGTGCGCATACGTTTTGGATGTATGATGCAGCACGCCTGCCACGCCTGCCACACCCTGCGAATCTTGCGCGTATGTGTTGTGTGGTGTGCGCGTGATGTGTGTGTGTGTGTGTGTGATGCGTGTGCGGCAGTATCTGGGCGTCTGTCTCTGGGGTGGGGGGAGGAAGGAAAAGGAGGAGAGGAGGAGGGGAGGCGGGTGAACGCGGGTGCGACGCGGGTGGGAAAAAAAACAAGAATCCCATTAAACATGCGGGGAACGAGTCCGTTTAGGAAAGAAGGACTGCGCGAGCGCTCTTGCGAATTTTTACGAAAGGCCTCACCAGCATCGCTATCATCATCGTCGTGTTTGTCGTTGTCGACATCGCCATGATACCGCGCCCGCCCAAGCCACCGACTCGCATTGCAATGCCCGCGCGTCAACGCGGGCCGCGAGACGCGTTGGGAATTTCCCACGGGTCAGCGTCACCGCGGCCACGTCGGTCGAGGCAGATTAGCGCGGTCGCAGCGATGTGCCAGCCAGCGCCAAGCAGTCATCGCAATCGCCGCCGCATGGGTTTTGCAAGCCAAGCTGCGGGTGGGTGTGTGGGGGGATTGCTTGAGCAGTGGACTTGGCAACCTCAAGTTCAGCACGGGAAATTGCACCACGCAATGGGCACCACGTGGATTTTTGAAAATTCTCCGTCTGGCGTCCACGCTGCCTGGCCTAGAGGGCAATGGGAAGTATGGGAAATCCGTGGGGCTGTGCCGAGGAGGTCGATGATGATGGCGATGATGGTGATGACGATGATGGTGATGGTGATGGTGACGATGATGATGATGATGATGATGATGATGATGATGATGATGATGATGATGATGATGATGATGATGATGATGATGATGATGAGGAGGATGGTAATGATGATGATGATGATGATGATGAGGAGGAGGAGGAGGAGGAGGAAGAGGAGGAGGACGAGGAGGAGGATGATGATGATGATGATGATGATGATGCTGATGATTATGATTATGATGTTATGATGATGACGATGATGATGATGGTTATGGTGATGATGCTGATGATGGTGATGTTGTTGGTGATGATGATGTTGCTGATGGTGATGATGATGAGGAGGAGGAGGAGGAAGAGGAAGAGAAACAGGAGGAGGAGGAGGCGGAGGAGGAGGAGGAGGAGGAAGAGGAGGAGGAGGAGGAGGTGGAGGAGTGCTCCCTTCTTTGGACCACTCAGCAGGAGGCGGCCCTTGCCGCGGCGCCAGCGCTCGCGGGGGCCGGGGAGGCGCGGACCGTGGCGGCGCAGAAGGCTGCCGCCGCCGCGGCGGAGGATTTCGAGAGGGCGGCGGAGCTCAAGGTGCGCCAGCGCCAGACGGCCCCTCGAAGTCCTCCTCCTCCTTCTCCTCCTCTTCCTCCTCCTTCTCCTCACAGGCTCCACATCGGATTTTAACATCGCCCCGAGGGGCTCCCCCAAGAGGCGCCCACAAGGCGCCCGGAGGCCCTCAAGACAGCCTTCCAGAGGCCCCGACACTGACCGAGAGAGCTCCAGGGCCGACCAAGAGAGCGGCGGAGCTCCAAGGCGCGCGAGCTACAGCTGGAGGCCGCCCATCTGAGGACAGCACAACCCCCCCACCCCTACAGGGCTCATGTCGACTCCGAATCGAGTCGATCTGATTTCGATTCCGATTTCGATTCGCTGCGATTTCGGATTCTGATTTGGATTTCGATTCTCCTGACTTGGCTGCCGATTTCCGCCGATCCGATTCATATTGGTCGCCCGCCGATCCGACTTATCGGCACGATTGTGGGCTCCTGCCCCCGCCCCCAGCCAGGACCCCACTCCTGACACCCCAGGGGTCCAGAAAACCACCCTCATCCTCAGCCAGGACCCCGTGGATCACCAGGTCGGGAGCGGGGGTCCTGGCTGGGGGTCGCGAAAAATTGAGACATCCCAGGAAAGGAGGGCCGAAGCCCTGGACCCCAGCTTTCTGCTTCCTGCTCCGAGCCGCATCGGTACTGCCCGTGGCGAAAAATTTGCAGCGCCAGGATCTCAGGGTGGTCGGGCGAAGAGAACTAAATGCACATGCACCCATTCTGGCCAGGCCCATCCTGGGCCCAGGATCGGTGCACATGCCCTGGAACACTTAGCTCAGCATGATATGATTCAAGTGGGCTGTGCTGTCCTCACCATCGGGCGCTGCGGGCGCCGGCGGCGCTGGCCGCGGCGCGGCTGGCGCGGCAGCTGGACGGCCAGGCGGCGGCGCTGCAGGGGCTGGGCGCGCCTGCGGACCCCGCCCTGTGGGAGGCGATCGCCGCCGAGCTGGCGGCGCTCGGCGCGCCCGCGGCGGGGGCCACGGGCGGACGCGGCCGCACCTAGCTTGTCCTCCTCCCCCTCCTCCTCCTCCTCCTCCTCCTCCTCCTCCTCCTCCTCCTCTCTCCTTCGTCTCTCCCCCCTCCCCCTCCCCCTCCCCCTCCCCCTCCTTCCCGCTGCGCCCGCGGCGGGGCCCCTCTGGGGGAGGGAAAGAAGGAGAGCTCGCCGTCGCCGCCGCCGCCGCCGCCGCCGCGCCGTCGTCGTCGTCGTCGTCGTCGTCGTCGTCGTCGTCGTCGTCGTCGTCGTCGCGCTGGTCGCCTCCGCCTCCTCCTCCTCCTCCACCTCCTCCTCCTCCTCCCTCTCCTTCGTCTCTCCTCCACCTTGTCCTCTTTCTTCCTCCTCCGCCTCTCCAGAGGAGGGAAAGTGTGGGCAAGAAGGCCCGTCGCTGCTTCCCGGCCCTGGCCTCAGCAGGGGCTGGCGTTCCCTCCTGCCCCCGCTTTGTCCTGCACCGGCACCTGCGTCATCGTATTTTGGCCGTCCCGCAGGAGGTTGGCTCTTGTTTCCTCCCTCCTGCCGCACAACCTTCGCGCTTGGTCTCCCCGCCGCCGCGGCCCCGCCTCTGCCATACCGCATGAGGGCAGACGCCAGATTTGCGACCTTCGACCCCGGGTAGGTTCGGGCTCGACTCGTCCGTGCGTTCGCCGTACAGTAGCTGCATGGATGCGCCTCCGAACCAGGTCGTCCTGCACGCGCACGCTGCCGCCCGCTCCACCGCTGCCCCGCTGCCTGAGGGGTTGGTCGGTCTTGCACCTTGTCGCGTTTCGCGCTCAACGCAGCTGCAGGTTCGGCACGCTGGGACTCGGGTTCGCCGACCGTTTTGGACGCCCCCCCCCTCCTGCTCGGGCCACTCTTCCGCCCGCCTCGCAGCCGCGCCTCGCTTGCTCTTTTGAAGCCTCGCCCCAGCTCCGCTGCCACGCCGCCTGCTGGAGTCAGGGGCAACGGACCACGGGGGAACCATCGGGTCTTGATAGCCCACCACGCCCTGGGGAACGTGCGGTTTCGCAGTCGAGAGCCTGTCACCGATCTATTGGCGATGCACCGCCGATTCCAAGCCACTGCCCCCCCGATCCATTCCCCCCCCTTTGTCCCTGCCTCTCAGAGAGTCACCTCGGCTGCCTCCTTCGACCTCGTGGCAGGGGACGTGCCCGCTCGAGGAGCCTCTCTTCTTGTCCTTCAGCTCCGACTGCCCATCCCGCGCCTTCTCCACCTCCACCTCCACCTCTTCGTGCTCTTTCCGCCTCGACTCAAGGGAGGAAGAACCACCCGGATCGGACGATGGGCGTTTATCAAACGGCCTTGTGCGTTTACTAAACAGCCTTGCCTTGCTCGACTCCTTCTTTGGGCACGTTTACTGAACGTCTTCGCGTGTCGGGGTGGTTATCATGGGGGTATTTTTGGACTTCTATCCACCGAGGAGAGGTGGGCCGCGCCGTCGCTGGGACTCGGGCACCGCCCCAGAGCCAAGAAGCCCGCTCGGACCTCGGAGAGCTTGCTCAGGGGAGAAGCACCACCCGGACCGGACAACTGGCGTTTACGAAACGGCCCTGGGCGTTTACTGAACAGCCCCGCCCTGTTCGATGTGCGTTTGCTGAACGGCCTCGCGTGTCGGGGTGGTTATTATCGGGTTGGATTTTCTGACCTCTACTTGTGCCTGTGTGGTTGTTTCTTGTTCTGTCTCCGTCCTCTGCCTGCATCCTCCGCCGTCGCCGCTGGTAAAGCTTCGGGCTGCGCGAAGGCAACCTACCAGGCAGTCCCTGCTGGCCTCAACTTCCTGGCGCCGCTTGCCGCCCTGCACATTTAGGGGGACCTGTTGGGACCAGACCAACGGGGGGGTGCTGTCTGCGCGCAGCCCGAAGCCTTACCAGTCGCCGCTCTGTCATTCCTTTCCCTGCCTCCCTCCCTTCTCGCGAGACTGTCTACTTTTGATTTTTGCGTGTAAGGGCAGACGTTTCCGCCCAGGCAGCGAAAGGCCGCTTGGGAAGGGGTGTGTGCGTCTCGTGGAGGTTCGATGGCCCTCGGTTCTAAGGCTTCAAGAGGTGGGGAAGGATGAGGATGAGGAGGATGAGGAGGAGGAGGAGGAGGACCTGCAGAACTCAGTCCGCTGGCCGCGCCGCGGCCAGCGGGTGTCAACATCCATGGTTGAGTCTGGGTTCAGCGCGCCTGTCTGGTGCGCGAAGCCCTGCTGCGGCAAGAATGACGATGGGCAAACAAACTCATGGTCCATGCGAGTGCGGCAAACACGAAAAGCTAAGCACCTGGCCGCCCACAGGCTAGTTGATATTACACTGCAGCGGCATTCTGGGTCATCAGCGAACCACAGGCCCAGCTCGCACGGGAAGTATGGTGGTAGCAGCAAGATGGAACCCATCGGGGAAACATCTGGATCAACGCCCCCCCGCGTTCATGATGAGCACGTTGAGCCACGAAAAGGCGCTAGGCGCTGGGCTACAAGAGGCGCAGGGCACTCGTTGGGCCACGAGAGCGCGCTGGGCCACGAGGGCGCGTTTGGCAGCGAGAGCACGCTGGGCCACGAGATGGCCCTGGGCTACAAGAGCGCGCTGGTCCACGATAAGGCGACGGTCTACGGGAAGCGCTGGGCCGCTGGGACACGCTGGGCCACGAGAGCGCGTTGGGCCCCTGCGGGGCGTTGGTCTCCGAGAAGACGCTGGGCCACGAGAGCGCGCTGGGCGACGAGGAGGCCCTGGGCTACGAGAAGGCGCTGAGCCACCACAGCGTGCTGGGCCAGCAGGGTGCCTGGGACCACGAGAGGGCGCTGGGCTGCGAGAAGACGCTGGGCCACCAGGCCACCCTGGGCCACCATAGCACGCTGGGCCATGAGAGCACACTGGGCTTCGAGGAGGTGTTGGGCTACGAGGACACGCTCGGCCACGAGAGCACGCAGGGCCACGGGATGACGCTGGGCCCCGAAACGCGAGTGCGCCTGAGAGGTGGCAGAGCGGGATTGGAAGGGCACTGAAGGTGATCTGGGATATTGGGATGCCTCTGCAGAGCGATGGGGATTCAAATTTGGCAGAATCGCGATCATTGCCAAGCGTGCCAGAGTGGATTGCGCGCGGCGCACGTCCAAAAAGACATTGGCAGCATTCTTCCAAGCTGCCACAGGCTTTCTCTACTACGACATGTCCGTGAACGACTACATCGTCAACCGCCTCTTACGACCAGGTGTCCGACGCGGCAGCTGGAGCAAACCTCCTGTTCGAGGAGTTGTGCAACGACGAGGCGACGTTCATGACCTATTGATGGGGAGTCAGGGGTAGAACCCGCGTGCGAGCCTGTCCTTGCGATGTTTCTGGCATCCGCTTCCCTCCCCAAAGCTGACTAGCGCCTGCACTGTGGCCGCCCCTGTTTCTGTTTGTGTGTTGATCCTTTTTTCGTGTCCGATTCGACGATTCCGGTCCCGACCGTTTCGACGTCGCGCCCGAACCCACCGTCAGTGCGACGCACGGCGACGAAGAGAAAGTGTGGTCCTCGGCTCTCCATCCCCCTTCTTCCCCAAGGGGCGCGCGGCTGTGTGGCTTCGGAGTGGGATCACCGTGGGATGGCGCTGCGCAGCATGAAAACGGAGGGGGAAGGAGATGCAACATGATAACTGCGATAACGCTGATTTAATGATGATGGTGGTTGCGATGATATAATGCTGATGATGCTGGGGATGACCATGACCGTGACGATGAAGATGGTGATGATGATGATAATGAAGATCTTGGTGGTGATGATGTTGATGGTAAAAGGTAGTTTGAATTGTGCTTTTGTACGAAGGGGGTGCTGGTGGTGGTGATGATGATCATGATAACAAGAAGCAGGAGGAAGAGGAGGAGGAGGAGGTGGAGGAAAGAACGTTGGACGAGGGGGATTATGAGTAGACTGGCGAAGAAGAGGAAGACTATGATGGTGATCGGGAGGAGGAGGAGGAACAACAACCAGGGGCAGCAGCAATGGTGTAAGAGTGACGATGATGGTAGTGGTGGTGGTGGTGGTGTTGATCATGGTGGTGATGGTAATCACAACCATGAAAGTGGCGATGCCGGCGATGGTGATGGCGTTGGTGATGAGGATGATGACGTTGATGGGTGATGCTTCTTGCGGTGCTCATGGTGGAGGGGGAGGGGCAGGAGGGGCAGTGATGGTGCTGGTGATGGTGATGGAGGAGACGGGTCTTGGTGGCTCGCGCAGGCGGCCATGGGCCCAGAGATGCTGGTCGTCGGGCCGCTCGGCCTCATCAACACGGAAGGGAGGGGATATCGTACTGTTTAGCTACGAGCGCTTCGCGGCCAGAGGGGAGGGTCGCGGTTCGAGGATCGAGGCTCGAGGATCGAGGCTTGTCTGGAAGGTTGTAACACTGACGTCCGGAGGTATACAGAGCATTTTTGGTGGTGTCGTCGCCTCCAATTCGCACAGGTGGGGCCAACAGGATCGCGCCCACCCGCCGATGCGTCGGCGATGCGGCAAGGTGTGGAGCCCGAATTCCTCCGTCTTGACGTCGCCGATGTATCGCCGATGTGCTGATGCAGCGTTTTTTTTCTGACCCCATGTGATGTCAGGTGAGCGACGTAGAAGCCGGTTTTTTTGCGCCGACATTGGCGCGTAAATTGCCCGCGTAAGGTTGCGCGTAAGCGCCCTCGTCTCCAATGTGGCGTGCCGCGCCAGCGTCCCGCGTAAGCCGCCGCGTATGGTCGCTGCGTCACCTCGCGTACGACCCGTTTTTGATCGTCGATCATGTTACTGTAATGGCCTCCGGCCAGTGCCGCCGATCCGGGGGGCTTCAGATTCGGTGATTTTCGCGGCTCTGTGGCCTCCTCCCTCCACGATTATTCCGGTCCTCTTTCTTCTCTTTTGGGGGGTGCTTGGAGCGGTCCGGGGGGGAGGTCCGGGGAGGGTTCCAAGGGGAGGGTCCTGGGGGCGGTAGCTGCTAGATCTGAGAGGGGGTTGTCTGGGACCCCCCGAAACATCTCGGGGGTGCGTAAATCATCAAGAAAACGCCAGATGGGGGACCGCCCCCACACCCCTCCCTCCCTTCCCCGGGAATGGTCCCGATGCGCAAATCATGAAGAAAACGCCAGATGGGGTACCGCCCCTCCCCCTCTCCTCCCCCCTTCCCTGGCAGAGCCACCCCGGCGACCCCCCGCAAGCAGAGCTGAAGCTCTTGCTCAGACTCAGAGCTGAAGCTCTTGCTGAGGCTCCTTGTAGTTCACACGCCAGATCGGCGGATTTTCGTAAGTAGCGCTAGATGACGACGAAGCTCCTTCTGGTCCCTCCGGGAACGCCTGGGTGCACGCGGAGCTTCAGAGGAGCAAGCATGGAAGAAACCCACGAAGCATCGAGCCCCTTCCGAGTCCGAGTTGCAGCCCGCATCAGTGTTTGTACTGCGCTCCAGCCTCGTTTGGGCGCTCTCTGGCCTTGGGGTTTTGGCAGGGACAAGACAGTGTCCCTCCACTGGTCCTGGCTGGGACAAGACAGTGTCCCTCCAATGCTGTTGGAGCCCCGACGCTTCCCTTAGAGTAGCCTGCTGGGACGTTGCTCTTCGGCTGTCGGCAGCCCCTCCGTTTCCTCCCCTCCCCCTTCCTTTGACATCGCTCGGGCGTGTGCATTTGTTGGGAGCGAGGACCATCGAGGAACATTCTGGATCATCTTGCGAAAAGAAGTACACACACACGATGTCGAAAAATGCACAAGGGATGGACGTCTGAGCGATGGCGAATCTCTGGTAAATGGCGCAGGAGAGTACAGCAGCAGGACCGTTCTCTCAGGGGAGAGCGCCCGCTCCCTTCGTGGGGGGTGCTGGCGCGGCCCCCTCACCCGTGGCCGCGCGAGGATGGTCGGGGGCAGCTCAAGGTGCACCTGGCCCAAGGTGCCCCCAGCTTTCCGCTCCTTTCTGGAGTTTCTCGGGCCCTCTGCGTGAGGGGTGCTCTGGAGGCCGTGGGGGCCTCCCTGGAAATCCTGGAGGCACCTTGGGCCAGGGGCACTTCTGGCAGCACCCGAAATGGTGCGTCTCCCCCTGCCTGCTCCCTCCCCCTTTTCTCGGGGCCAACTTCGATCCGACCGATCCGATTCGATATCGGTTTCGGACGGTTCGACTCGTTCTGGCTTCGACTTTCCGACGATCCGATGTGGCCCGATGCTTCAAGCATCATGCTTCGTGCCGCCGCTGTGCGTCCTGGAGCGATCACTCTGATTCGAATGATTCGGTCTCTATGCCGTCGCGATGCAGGTCGATCCGACGTACGCTCCGACCCGATCCGATGCTGACCGATCTTGCCCCTCCCCCTTCCGTCCCTCTTCCCTGCTGTTCGGGTGCTGTGCCGGGATGCTCTCTCGTTATCGATCGTTCTTCGGCGGTGACGCGGCTGTGACGGCGACAAGGAGGGCGAGCTGCGGAATGCCCGATGCCGCCGGCACGTCGGCTTCTCGTCGGTTACGACGACGCGTCGTTACGTCCAAGCGATTACGGCGACGGCGGTGACGGTGATGGTGATACCGAGTCGATGCCGACGATGCCGCGGTCGGCTAATGCTCATTGTTGTCTCAACAGTGAACGCGGCGATGGTGCCACCGAGGAGGATGAGAAGTAAGATACTCAGGACCAGAAACAGGGACATAAACAGGGGCATGAGTATGCGCAGGATGGGGATAACGGAACGGAGAGGGGAAGTGGGAGGGGACGGGGAGTGGGTTGGGCACGGGTAGGAGGGGGTTGAGGAAGAGGATAGCCACAGGAGGAGGAACGGAGCAGTAACGAAAAATGGAAGAATGATGATGATGATGATGATGACGATGATGACGATGATGATGCTGCTGATGATGCTGCTGATGAGGACGATTCTGATTATGATGATGCTGATGATGATGAAGGTGACGGTGATGGCGATGGTGATGGGCGTGGTGATGATGATGATGATGATGATGATGATGATGATGCTGATGATGATGATGATGATGGTGATGATGATGATGATGGTGATGATGATGATGATGATAATGACGACGACGACTATGACGATGATGATGATGATGATGATGATGATGATGATGATGATGATGATGATGATGATGATGATGATGATGATGCTGATGCTGATGCCGATGCTGCTGATGATGATGACGATGATGATGATGATGATGATGATGATGATGATGATGATGATGATGATGATGATGATGATGATGATGATGATGATGATGATGATGATGATGATGTGGATGATGATGTTGATGACGGTGGTGGTGATGATGATGATGAGGAGGAGGACGATGCTGATGGTGATTATGCTGATGATTAGAAGGTGGAGGAGTAGGAGGAGAAGGAGGAATAATAAGAGGAAGATAATAAGGAATATGAGGATGATGAGGAGGAGGAGGAGGAACATGATAATAATCAGGATGGTGACGACACATACGATTTGCCAGGACTATGGGCGTCAACTCTGAATGTGATGCAAATCTGAGACAAAATCATTTTCAAAGAGATCGGAATAGCAAGCTCGCTTAGCATCGCTGAGCATCGCTGAGCCACTTGCATCCAGCGGGCTGGCAGGCTTTCGGCTCTCCCAGCTCCTCCATTCTCCTTCCCGCTCCTCGGGGGCGCCCAAGAGGGGGGCTGACCAGGGGAGTGGCTATCATGACCGGGGCCACGATACCTTCCCAGATTTCGGGCCATGATTTGCGAACCCCCCTCTTTGACGCCCCCTCTTAGACGCCCCCGAGTTCCACCCCCTCTTGGACGCCTCCTCCACCTGCCACCATCTCTGCCACATGGACTGTTGGCGACCAGGCAGTTCCCTTGCAATCCCTCCCGCTTCTCCATGCCCGTCTCCCAATCCTCGGCGTCCTCCTGCTCATCCCTCCTCCTCCTCCTCCTCCTCCTCCTCCTTCTCTTGGTGGGGTGGTTGCGCTTCATCGTGGGTGCCTGCTGTGAATCAGCTTCTATGCTAGCAATTTGCCAAACATAGTCTTCCTTCATCTCCTCCTCCTCCTCCTCCTCCTCCTCTTCCTCCTTCGCCTCCTCCTCCTCTTCCTGCGCATTACCCTGCCATGTACACAGGCATTGTGGTGTACCTCGTAGGTTGCCTCCCTCCTCTCGTAATCATGACCAGCGGGTGCCCTCCCGCTCGACGGGGCACCCTCTCGCCCAGCGGGCATGAGGGCCGCCCCGAGCATGTGGCATCGAGGCTGAGTGACTTGTCGAGGGACGTGCCAGACACCCCCGCAGGGGTGTACCACGTGCAGCATGAGTCAGAGTGTATGCACACCTCCGAGCCGAGCCAAGCGTTCCTCTGTCTTCCTCCTCCTCCTCCTTCCCCCCCTCCTCCTCCTCCTCCCCCTCCTCCTCCTCCTCCTCTTACTCCTTCTCCTTCTCCTTCTCTACCTCCTCCTCCTCTTCCTCCTTCTCCTTCTCCTCCTCCTCCTCTTCCTCCTCAGCCTCCTCCCTCCTTCTCCTCCTCCTCCTCCTCCATTTCCTTCTCCTTGTCTTCCTCCTTCTCTTCCTCCTCCTCCTCCTCGTCATCCTCCTCCTCTCTCCACGTCCTTCTCCTCCTCGTCCTCCTCCTCCTCCTTCTCCCTCTCCTCCTCCTTCTCCTTCTCCGTCTCCTTCTCCTTTTCCCTCTCCTTCTCCTTCTGTTCCTCCTCTTCCTCCTTCTCCTCCTCTTCCTTACTCCTCTCCTCCTTCTTCTTCTCATTCTCCTCCTTCTCATCGTTCCTTTTCTCTTCTTCTCTCCTCTTCGTCCTCCTCCTCCTCCGTCTCCATTCCTTCCCCCTACACATAATTTCTCCCTGCTGCACCCGAGACCAGTCGTTGGGGCGGGTCGGGCGTTTCGCCTGCGATCTCCTCATCAGTTACAAACCTGAAGCTTGAAACCTGACAAGGCTTTCACGTGTTAAGGGCGGGTGGTTTTCAACATGTGGTTCTCGCCTTAGCGCCGCGCACATTCTTTTTCTTTAAAAACAATACAAGAGCTTCACGGATCGAGGGCGGGTGGTTTTCAACATGTGGTTCTCTCTTTAGCGCCGCGCACATTCGATGCAAGCATTTGCCAGAGCTTCACGGATTGAGGGCGGGTGGTTTTGGATATGTGATTCTCGCCTTTGCGCCGCGCACATTCGTTTTAAACATTTGCAAGGGTTTCACGGGTTGAGGGCGGGTGGTTGTCAGCATGTGGTTCTCGCGTTAGCGCCGTGCGCCTTCCTTTTCCCTGTAAACACTTGCAAGAGTTTCACGGGTTAAGCGTGGTTCCTTTCCAAAGTGTGGTTCCCGCCTCGGCGCCGAGCACATTCCTTTTAGACATGTGCAGGAGTTTCAGAGATTCCCACGGCAGGATTCTTGATTATGGGGGTGCAACAATTATGTGGATTCGCGGTGTTGAAATCCCACGAATGGCGTTCTGGCACGATCCAGGACCGTCAAGACGCAACAGTCTGGCTCATCCGTTGCGTTGAAATCCCGAGAACACTGTTTTGGAATGCGTCAGGGCCTTCAACGGTTTTCTTCCAACGAGGCAGTTCCCCCAGTGGAAATGAACCGTTGTAGGGGCCTATGACGAGGGAGCTTGGAGTCCAGGAGGGAGGGTTTATGCAAACATCGTTGATGACTCTTGGGTTTCCACTAGTCCTTCTCCTCCTCCTCCTCCTCCTCCTCCTCCTCCTCCCCCATTCCTTTTCTTTCTGACTAGCTCTTCCTTGTCGCACTTCGAGGCCAGTCCGAAGGGCGGCCCTGGCGTTACGCCAGAGACTCTATTATTCATGATCCTGCAGATTGAAATAGGGTAACAGGTTCACATGTCGAGGGCGGGTCGCTTTCGAAATGTGGCTCTCGCCTTAGCGCCGCGCGCATATGTAACAACATTGCCAGAGGTTCACGGATGGAGGGTGGTTCTTTTTTGGAAATGCGGCTCTCGTTTCAGCTCCGTGCATATCCGTTTCAAAAAATGCAAGTGTTTCACGGATCGAGGGCGGGTGGTTTTCAAAATGTGTTTCTCGTTTTAAGCGCCGCGTGCCTCCGTTTGAATCAGGTGCAAGAGTGTCACGGATTCAGGGCGGGCCGTTTTCAAAATGTGTTTCTCGCCTTAGGGCCGCGCACATTTGTTTTCAACCATTGCAAGAGTTCCATGGATTGAGGGCGGTTCCTCTTCAACATGTGGCTCTCGCTGTAGCGTTGCGCATATTCGTTTCAAACATTTGCAAAATTACATTGTATCTCATTGCTTCGCATTAAAACTGGGGTTTTGGAACGGTTCAGGATTGTAAGGGCGCAACATTTATGTTGATTCGGGGTGTTGAAGTCCCAGGAATGGTGTTCTGGCACGGTTCAGGATCGTTGAGACGCAACGGTTTGGTTGGCTCATTGCGTTGAAGTCCCGAGACTGGTGTTCTGGCGCGCTTCATGGTTTTCACACGGTTGCCCCCCAACGGGGCATTTCCTTGTGGAAGCGAGCCTTTGTGGAGGTCTTTGAAGAGGGAGCTTGGAGGGAGGGTGTATTCCAACATCATGGATGAGTCTTGTGTTTGCACTGAAACCTCCTTCGCATCCTCCTCTTCATCCTCCTCATCATCGTTCGTCATCTTACTCTTACTGTGAAGGCCTTACGGCAGGTGCCGCCGACCCTGAAGGGAGACGACGACGACGACGACAACGGCGGCGACGACGACGACGCTGACGTGGGCCAGAGTCCTCAGGGATGCTTCTTGGGGTTTCCCGGAAGGCCCTCGGGGCCTCTGGGGATGAATGTTGGGGCCGCTTGAGAGCCTCTTGGGAGCCTCTTGGGGGACTCTTCGGGCTTCCTGGGGACCTCTCGTGTGCCTCTTTGGGCCTCTTGGGGACCTCTTGGGGCCTTATGGGAGCCTCTCGGGGTCGAGGGCTCGAAACGTCCGTTTGGGTCCCCGGCTGGGCACGCTCTTGAGCCGTCTTGGGGGCTCCTTGGGCCGTCTTGGAGGCGTTTTGGGCTGTCTTGGGGTCCTCTTGGGCTGTTTCGGGGCCCTCTTGGATGCCTCTTGGGCCGTCGTGGGACGACCTTGGGGGCCTCTTGCGCCGTCTTGGAGCGGCGGGAAGCGGAAAAGGCGAGAGCGCTAAAATCGCTCAGCAACCAACGGAATATGAATGGAATTTGGCCTCTTGGGGTCCTCTCGGGAGTGCTCTTGGAGGCTTCCTGGGGCGTCTTGGAGTCCTGGGCAGTCTGGAGGGCGTGAGGGCGTTTTGGACCGATCGTTTGGCGATTTGGAGCCGTCTTGGACCAGCTCGGGGGCCTCTTGGGACACTCTTGGTCTGTCTTGGTGCTTTCTGAGGCCCTGGGACCCCCAGGGGGGGATGCGTATCTGACCCCGCCGGGATCCCCCCAACTCCCCCCCTGCCCCCCCCGGGACCCCCCCCCGACGGAGGAGGGATCAAAGGGAAGGGGACTCCCTCTGAGTCGATTACGACATTGCTAGATTTTCCCTCGCTGACAAGCGACATGCTTGTGGAGGAGGGCGCACGGAAAGGGGACGACTGAAACGACGACTGACGGAGATGATGACTCGAGCCCCTCACACACGCCGACAGGGTCGGTGGATTCTGCATCTTATCCTCCTCCTCCTCCGCCTTCCCCCTCCCTCTTGTCTTCCTCCCTCCCCCTTCCTCTCCTCCCCCTCCTCCTCCCTTCTCCTCACCCTCCTTCTCCTCCGCCTCCTCCTCCTCCTTCCGCCCCAGGGCCTGAACGCCTACAAGTTCGCCCTTGGCATCTACGCGCTGATGAGTTGGCTGTTCGCCTTCGGCATCATCGACTACAGAAACGACCTTCTCCCCCCATTCCGCGCCTCTGGGCTCCGCAGCCTTGGCTTTCGGGAAGTGGTGGTGGTGAGGAGGAGGAGGAGGCAGAGGAGGTGGAGGAGGAGGAGGAAGAGGAGGAGGAGGAGGAGGACCAGTGTAAACCCAAGAGCCATCAACGATGTTGGAATACACCCCCCTTCCAAGCTCCCTCTTCATAGGCCCCTGCAAAGGTTCATTTCCATTGAGGGATCTGCATCGTTGGAAGACAAACCGTTAGAAGATCCGGAAGCATGCCAAAACATTGTTCTCGGGATTCTGACGCCACGGATCAGCCTGACTGTTGCGTCTTGACGGTCCTGGATCGTGCCAGAACGCCATTCTTCGGATTTCAACACCGCGAACCAACATAATTGTGGCACCCGCGATACAATCTGGAATCCTTCCGAAACACCTTTTCTGGTACGTTGATCGTGGGAACCCGTGAAACTCTTGTTTTTTCTGAAACGAATGTGCTCGGCGCTAACGCGAAAGCCACGTTTCGAAAAGGAGCCGCCCTCAATCCGTGAAGCTCTTGGAAATGTTCAAAGCGAATGTGCGCGGCGCTACGGCGAGAGCCACAGTTTGAAAAGGAACCGCCCTGAATCCGTGAAGCTCTTGCGTATTTAGAAAATGCGCGTGCGCGGCGCTGAGGCGAGAGCCACATTTATAAAACGGGTTTTCCTCAATCCGTGAAGCTCTTGCAATTTATCCCCAAACAGCTTGCTGAACGGGGTGCTGTTGTGGTAGAAGGCTAACTCCGGCTGAGGGAATTCTAAGCAGAGACATCCTCAACAAAATGTGGTGGTCCGGCCCGTTTGGCTTGAGACATCCTCACAACTCTCGTTTCTGAGTTGTCCAGGATTGGGCGTTTCGCCTGAGACATCCTCGAAACTCTGGGCTCTTAGATGCCGCGCGAGAGGTGGTCCGGCCCGTTTCGCCTGAGACGTCCTCGAAATTCTGAGCTCTGAGATGCCGTGCGCGATGTGGTCCAGCCTGTTTCGCCTGAGACATCCTCGAAACTCTGAGCTCTGAGATGCCGCGCGGGAGGTGGTCTGGCCCATTTCGTCTGAGACATCCTCCGAACTCTAGGCTCTGAGATGCCGTGCGCGAGGTGGTCCGGCCCGTTTCGCTTGAGACATCCTCGAAACTCTGGGCTCTGAGATGCCGCGCGAGAGGTGGTCCGGCCCGTATGAGACATCCTCAAAATTCTGAGCTCTGAGATGCCGCGCGCGAGAGGTGGTCTGGCCCGTTTCGCCTGAGACATCCTCAAAATTCTAAGCTCTGCGATGCCGCGCGAGAGGTGGTCAGGCCCGTTTCGCCTGAGACATCCTCGAAACTGGGGGCTCTGAGATGCCGCGCGAGAGGTGGTCCGGCCCGTTTCGCCTGAGACATCCTCGAAATTCTGGGCTCTGAGATGCCTTGCGCGAGGTGGTCTGGCTTGTTTCGCCTGAGACATCATCAAAACTCTGAGCTCTGAGATGCCGCGCGAGAGGTGGTCTGGGCCGTTTCGCTTGAGACATCCTCCGAACTCTAGGCTCTGAGATGCCGTGCGCGAGGTGGTCCGGCCCGTTTCGCTTGAGACATCCTCGAACTTTTGAGTTCTGAGCTCTGAGATGCCGCGCGAGAGGTGGTCCGGCCCGTTTCGCATGAGACATCTTCGAAATTCTGAGCTCTGAGATGCCGCGCGAGAAGTGGTCTGGCCCGTTTCGCTTGAGACATCCTCGTAACTCTAGGCTCCCAGATGCCGCGCGAGAGGTGGTCCGGCCCGTTTCGCATGAGACATCCTCGTAACTCTAGGCTCCCAGATGCCGCGCGAGAGGTGGTCCGGCCCGTTTCGCCAGAGGCATCCTCGAAATTCTGGGCTCTGAGATGCCGCGCGAGAAGTGGTCCGGCCCGTTTCGTATGAGACATCCTCGAAATTCTGAGCTCTGAGATGCCGCGCGCGAGAGGTGGTCTGGCCCGTTTCGCCTGAGACATCCTCAAAATTCTAAGCTCTGCGATGCCGCGCGAGAGGTGGTCAGGCCCGTTTCGCCTGAGATATCCTCGAAACTGGGGGCTCTGAGATGCCGCGCGGGAGGTGGTCCGTCCCATTTCGCCTGAGACATCCTCGAAACTCTGAGCTCTGAGATGCCGCGCGAGAGGTGGTCAGGCCCGTTTCGCCTGAGACATCCTCGAAACTGGGGGCTCTGAGATGCCGCGCGGGAGGTGGTCTGGCCCATTTCGTCTGAGACATCCTCCGAACTCTAAGCTCTGAGATGCCGTGCGCGAGGTGGTCCGGCCCGTTTCGCTTGAGACATCTTCGAACTTTTGAGTTCTGAGCTCTGAGATGCCGCGCGAGAGGTGGTCCGGCCCGTTTCGCATGAGACATCCTCGAAATTCTGAGCTCTGAGATGCCGTGCGCGAGGTGGTCCGGCCCGTTTCGCCTGAGACATCCTCGCATTTCCGGGCTCCGAGATGCCGCGCGAGAGGTGGTCTGGCCTGTTTCGCTTGCGACGTCTTAGAAATTGTGAGCTCCGAGATGCCGCGCGCGAGGTGGTCCGGCCTGTTTCGCCTGAGACATCCTCAAAACTCTGAGCTCTGAGCTGCCGCGCAAAGGGGTGGTCCAGCCCATTTCGCCTGAGACATCCTAGCAATTCTGCGCTCTCTGATGCCGCGCGAGAGGTGGTCCGGCCCGTTTCGCTTAAGACATTCTCCAAACTCTGAGTTCTGAGATGCCCTGCGCGAGGTGGTCCAGCTCGTTTCGCCTGAGGCATCCTCGCAACTCTGAGCTCTGAGATGCCGTGCGCAAGGTGGTCCGGCCCGTTTCGCACAAGACATTCTCGCAACTCTGAACTCCCAGATGCCGCGCAAGAGGTGGTCCAGCCTGGGGGCCCAGAAGACCTCATGTTACATATCCCTCGGACCCTGGGAGCCCCAGGAGTCCCCAGAGAGCTTCAGGAGGCCGCAGGACGCCCAGGACAGGCCCCAGGGGTCCCCCGGAGATTCCCAGGAGGCTCCCAGGAGGCTCCAGGAGGCCCCCCATCAGAACGTGTCAAGTTAATACACATCCAGTGTCGATTCGTTGATTTTTCCTGCTCTTGTGGCCCCCCCTTTGGGGGGGCCCAGACGGCCAAATGTTAGATATCCCCCCTGGGAGCCCCAAGAGGCTTCAGGAAGCCCCAGGTGGGGTCCAGGAGGCCACAGGAGGCCCAGGAGGAAGCTCCAGGAGGTCCCCAGGAGGCCCCAAGAGGCCCCCGCAACTCGGAGCTCTGAGACGCCACGCTCGACGTGGTCCGGCCCGTTTCGCCTGAGACTTCCTCTCAGCACGTTTCGCCCGAGACATCGTCGCAACAAAGGGGTCCGAGATGCCACGCGCGAGGTGGTCCATGCCAGCCCGCACTGGACGGGCACGCAATCGACCTGGGAAACCGCAGTGGGTTTAAACACCCTGTTTCGGGATACTGCACTCCAGCTATAATTTAGACCGAATGTACGCGGCGCTAAGGCGAGAACCACATTTTGAAAATCACCCGCCCTCCATCTGTGAAACTGTTGCCAATCTTTAAGCTTCAGAGTCATACATGGTGAGGAAGTCTCAGGCGAAACGCCCGGCCCGCCCTAAAAACTGGCTTCGGGGTGCGACAGAGAGAAGTTACTTAGAAGGTAAAGGAGTCGAGGGGAGGGGGAGGGGAGGGGGAGGAGGGGGGAGGTGGAGGGGGAGGGGGAGGGGGGAGGGGGAGGGGGAGGTGGAGGGGAGGGGGGGGGGGAGGAGGAGGAGGAAGAAGAGGAGGAGGAGGAGGAGGAGGAGGAGGAGGAGGAGGAGGACGAGCTAGGTGCGCTCGCGTCATCTTTAACGTCTTAACCCTCCGTATCATTTCTTACCGTGGCGTATCTCTCCTCTCTATCCGCACAGTCAGATGTCGAGCACGGCAATGATCGCGAGAGCATACGCGATGCATGGTAGAGCACGTCATGGCATGGCGTAGGAGAGCACGGCAATGCGTAGCGCGCCATAGCATCACGTGGCTTTGCGCAGTGAAGCATTGCATCACAAAGCATTGCAAGGCAAATCATGGCATCGCACAGCGGCGCAGAACACAACACCGCACAGCATGTCATGGCATGGCGCCAGGTTCCTTGGAGGGTAAGTGGATTGTCTTCAAGAGGTCTGGGCCGGTCTGGAGTCGTGACTCCATGTCTAGGTCCATGTCTAGCTCCTACCTCCGCCTGTCCCATTAAGTTTTCTCCTTCATTCCTCCCTCCCCTTCTTCCCTCTAACCTTCTCCCTCTGCGCATCCGCCTTTCCTTTCTCTCGTGCCTCTCCTCCCTCTCCTCGTTTTCCTCGTCCTCGTCGCCCTCTGCCTCCTCTGCTTCCTTCTCGTCGTCGTCGTCGTCGTCTCTCAGCTTCGCTTCTGCTGCTCGTCCTGCTGCCCCTCCCGCTGCTGCTTCTCGTTCTCCCCCTGTCCGCTCCTGTCCTTGGCCTGCCCCCGCATTCAGGACATCGTCTCCAAGATCCAGGGCTTCCTGAGCTCGATCATCGACCCCGTGCTCGCGCCGTTGCGGTCGGGATGTGGGCAGACAGGGAAACGAGATCGACGCCCTTTGTGCATGCGTGCCCAGTGCCCAGTCTCTCCTTCTCCTTTCCCCACCCATCTCGGCGACGCGCCCAACGGGGGGAACGCAGAGGGGGCCTTCTCAAGAGGCTGAGAGGGCCTCCGGCCTTCTCAGAAGTTTTCGAAGCTTTCTCCGAAGCCACGGAGGGTGCCTCCGAAGGCCCGACAGCTTCCGGGAAGCCCCGCCGCCCTCTGCGACGGAATGCCCCCCTTTCAAGGCGTCCCCCCCTCGGAGCGCCGCCGGCCATCGCTGCCTTGTCTTGGGTATTGATGCTGCTGGCGCGAGGACCCCTGCCTCTGGAAGAAGATCGGCGGCGAGCCCGGGGGGGCAGCGAGAACGGGCGGGCCTTCTCAGGTGGCTCAGAAGTCCCCTGGCCTTCTGGAAAGGTTTCTGGGCCTTCCCGGAAGGCACAGAAAACCTCTCCGAAGGCGCGAGGGCTTCTGAGGAGCCCCGCCGCCTCTTAGAAGGCCTTCTCCTTCTCACTTCCCCCCCCTCGCTTGTCGCCGAGGTGCCGCGCCAGATCGGCGTCTGTGACTTCCCCTGAGATCCGACCCGGCGAAAAAACTGCAGCCCCGTAAAAAACTCACGCCCAGAGCCCTAGACCCCATCTGTCTGCGTCACGCTTCGAGCCTGGGCCCGAGAGGAGGCGAGTACGCCCGGCTCGAGAACATTGAGACGCCAGAATCTCAGGGTTCTGGCCCAGTCGAGCCAGAGAAGTTGCGGCCGGCTGCCAGGCTGCTGGCGCCGCCAATCCCCGAGGCGGAGCGCCAGGCTCTGGTGTAGGGAAGGAAAAGAAGGCCCGCCCGTTCTCACTTCCCCCCGGGCTCGCCGCCGATCTTCTTCCAGAGGCAGCGGTCCTCGTCAATACCGAAGACAAGCTAGCGATAGCCGGCGGCGCGCCGGGGGGATGTCTTGAAAGGGGGCATGCCGTCTCAGAAGGCTCGCCGCCGAGCACCCCCCTCCCAGCTTGCACACCCTTCCCCTTCCCTTGGGCGGCGATAGGTGGGGGGGCGATAAGTCCTTTTCGGACCCAGAAGGGGCTCTTTCGGGCCCGAAAAGGGCACCTTTCTCTCCCCCCCTCGCAAATTGCCTCGCATTCATTCGCGCCCAACTTCCTCTCCCTCTTAGTTTTCGCAGTCTGGCCCCTGCCCGCTCGAGGGCGCCCACCGACCGTGGTGAGCGGCCAGAGCGCCGCCGCGTGCGCTGCCGGTCTTCTCGTTTCCGGCCGGCCCGCCCACCCCGGGGGGCAGAAAGGCCTGACTTGGCCCCCCTTCCCCCCTTCTCCTCCTCCTCCTTTTCCGCGAGGAGGAGGAGGAGGAGCGAATCAGGGTGACCACGATACGGATAAAATGGGAATCAGGGTGAGGAGGAGGAAGAGGAGGACGAAAATGAGAAGAATCAGGACGGGACACGGGCACCTGGAACCCGGAACCGTCAGCCAGGAACCCAAAACCCAGAACCGGACCCGGGAACCAGGATTCGGGAACTGGGAACCGGGAGTTGGGAACGGGGAGCCGGGAACCAGGAGCCAGGAACGAGGATCCGGGAACCAGGAACCTGGAATTGGGAACCAGAACCTGGAGTGTGGAACTTGGAACAGGGAGCCAGAAATTCACCGGAACCGGGAACCAAAAACCGAGAACCGGGAATTCAGCGACGAAAAACTTGTTATTTTTCTTTCTTAGATATCCCTCCTCCCTCCTTCCTCCATCTTCCAGTCGGATCGCTCCGATCGCTGGCCGAATGCTCTCAGCAAGGCCGAGAATCTCGTTCGCAAGCGTCCGTGGTTCGCTCATGTCGACTAGCATCGCGACTGGTCTCGCCCGCTCACTCAGTCACCCACTCCCTCCCTCCCTCCCTCCCTCCATCCTCCCTCCCTCCCTCCCTCCCTCCCTCCACCCGCCGCCCTCCCCACTCTTCCTCCTCATGATCCTTCCAGCGGCTTCGGAGGCCTCCAGACCCCCCCGCCGCTTTCGGTTTCGGGAGGCGCCCCCACAGGCCACACGCGCGCCCGAGTCTCGATCCTCGATCCCGATCCTCGACCCTCCGCCCTCCTCGATCTCGGTCTTCGGCTCTCGATCCTCGACCCTCTATTGTCAGCCCTCGACCTCGGATCTCTATCTTCTCGTCCTCCTCGATCTCGTCGGGCCCTCCCACCTCCCCCCATCTAGCCTGGAAGGGGGCGGGAGGGTGGGGCCGCTGTGGCGCCGGGAGGTCGATCATCCCGTCTCTAGCGGGCTTCGACATCTCCTTCATGGTGCTCTGGTGCTCCTCCCCGCCCCGTCACGCGCGCGCGCGCTGGGCCCCCCCTCCTGGGCCGAGGGGGGGACGGTGATGGCGATGATGGCGATGATGGCGATAATGATAATGATGACGATCACGATGCTGATGACGACGATGACGGTGCCGATGTCGATGACGATGACTTTGATGATGGCAATGATGCTGATGCTGATGATGATGCTAATGCTGATGATGATGCTGATGCTGCTGCTGTTATTGATGACTGTGATGATGCTGGTGATGGTGATGGTGATGGTGGTGGTGATGGTGATTGTGATGGTGATGATGATGATGATGATGATGATGGTGATGGTGATCGTGATGGTGATTATGATGATGGTGATAGTGATGATGATGATGATGATGATGGTGGTGATGATGATGATGACGGTGATGGTGGTGATGATGATCGTGATGGTGATGGTGGTGGTGATGACGATGGCGATTATTATGATGACGACGTGGATGATGATGATGATGCTGATGATGATGATTATGACGTTGACGGTGACGACGACGGTGGCGATGATGATGATGATGATGATGATGATGATGATGATGATGATGATGCTGCTGACGACGACGACGATGGTGATGACGATGACGATATTGATGATGCTGATGATGATGCTGCTGCCGCTGACGATGATTATGATGTTGATGATGATGATTATGATAATGATGATGATCACGATGATGATGATGGTGATGATGATGATGATGATGATGATGATGCATGATGATGCTGATGATGATGACGATGATGATAATAGTAATACTAATGGTGCTGACGGTAATGGTGATGTGTATGATGATACTTGTGACGACGACGACGAAGCTGATGATCACGACGATGAACAGGATTGGGATGAGGATGAGGATGTGGATGAGGATGAGTGGGACGACGACGATGCTGATGATGGTGATGACGATGGTGATGATTATAATGATGGTGCTGATGATGATGATGTTGATGATGGTGATGATGTTGATGATGGTGATGATGATGATGATCATCACGCTGACGGTGATGATGCTGATGATGATCATGTTGATGATGCTGATGATGATGGTGATGTTGATGATGATGGTGGATGGTGGTGGTGGTGAGGAAGAATATTGCGATGACGAAGAGTAAGGCGATGAAGACGACGGAGACGGACGACGACAACGATTCTGCTGATCATGATTTTACTGCTGATGACGACGACGACGGACGACGACGATGGACGACGACGACGGATGACGACGAGTACGACGATGACGACGATGAAGTTATGATGAAGCTGCTGCTGATGATGATGATGATGCTGATTATGATGGTGATGATGAGGACGACGATGACGACGGAGGCGGCCGACGACGACGATTATGATGCGGATAATGACGACGGACGACTACGACGATGATGGACGACGTCGTCGAAGACGGATGACGACGGTTACGAAAGCGGACGACGACGACGATGATGACGACGACGATGATGATGCTGATGATCGTGATGAGGATGATACTGGTGATGATGATGGTGGTCGTGGTGATGATGATGATGATGATGGTGATGGTGATGGTGATGATGATGGTGATGGTGATGGCGATGGTGAGTATGATGATGGTTATGGTGATGATGATGATGACGATGATAATGATGATGATGATGGTGGCGGTGATGATGATCATGCTGATGGTGAGAATGATGGTGGTGGAAATGGTGATGGTGGTGGTGATGATGAGGGTGATGGTGGTGATGATGATGGTGAGGATCATGGTGCTGATCATGGTGCTGATCATGATGATGATGGTGGTGATGGTGATGATGGTGATGGTGTTGGTGGTGATGACGATGGCTATTATTATGATGATGATGGTGATGCTGTTTTTGACGATCGTAAAGTTGTTGATGATGTTGATGATGATGGAGGTGGTGATGGTGATGGTGATGGTTATGACGGTGAATGTGATGGTGGTGATGATGATGATGATGATGGTGGTGATAGTGATGGTGATGGTCATGATGATGATGATGATGATGGAGATTGTGATGGTGATGGTGATGTCGATGGTGACGGTGAAGGTCATGACGGTAATGGCGATGACGATGGTGATGATGATGAGGATAAAGGTGAGGATGAGGATGATGATGATGGTGATGGTGATGGTGATTGTGATGGTGATGATGGTGATGGTAATGATGACGGTGATGGTGATGGTGATGGTGATGATGATGGTGTTGATGATGATGATAACGATGATGGTGTTGATGTGGTGATGCTGATGATGATGTTGATTACAGCGATGATGATGACAACGACGACGACGGGGATGAGGAGGCGGAGGAGGATGACGGTGAGGACGACGACGACGCCGACGACGACGACGTCGACGCCGACGACGACGACGACGATGAAAGTGTTGAGGACGACGACAACAACGATGATGATGACGATTCTGCTGACGATGGTGATGGTGATGATGATGACCATGATCAGGATGATGAGGATGAGGATGAGGACGATGATGATGGTTATGATGGGACGAGGACGATTCTGATGATGGTTATGATGACGATTATGATAATGATGATGATGAGCAGGTGGATGGCGATGATAGTTATTATGTTGGTGTTGGTGATGATGGTGATGATTGTGATGATGATGATGCTGGAGCGAATGCGGATGATGTTCGGGATGTTGATGATGACGATGATGATGATGATGAAGACGATCATGATGATGCTGATGATGATGATTCGGATGATGGTTATTATTGGGATGATGATGAGGATTATGATGACGATGAAGTTGGTGGTGGTGATGATGACGATGATGGTCATCGTGATGATGGGGATGATGTTTGGGATGATGGTGATGCTGATGATGACGATGATGATGATGACGACTACGAAGACGACGCAGACGACGGACAACAAAGAGGATGGGGTGCAGGTGCAGTCGGATGACGATGAGGACGACGACGACGACGACGACGGACGATGACGACGACGACGGACGACGACAACGACTAAGATTATGATGATGATGATGATGATGATGATGATGATGGTGGTGATGATGATGCTGATGATGATGATGATGGTGATGATGATGATGATGATGACGACGATGATGATGATGACTATGATGATCTGATGATGATGATGCTGACGGTGATGGTGGTGATGGTGTTGGTGATGATGATGTTGAGACAGACGTCGACGACGACGACGACGATAGTGGTGATGATGATTTTGAGGATGAGGATAAGGACGGCGATGGTGATGGCGACGACGATTATGATGATGACGATGATGAAGATGATTAGGATGATGATAAGGATGATCAGGACATGGTGACAATTGTGATGATCAGATCTGACATGTCAGCAGGGGACATTGAGTGCGGTTTTGATGCTCGGAAGGCGGTGGTTCGCATTCCAGATTGAGCTCAACATCATCATCCACTCATTTTCTTTATTCGTCTGCGCTTCGTGTCCTAATCAGGCGATATGGATGGTTGTGGGCCGCGGCTAGCTGTCTCCGGGCCGCGTGAATGCTGCTGTCTAGGTTTCTCATGGTTTGGAGGCGCATCGTTGTCTGTCATTCACCAGACATTTCCTCCGTAGCCACGCTGGCCTAACCAGCTTTACCAGCTTTCATATTTCCGTGAATCGAACATCCTTTCCTCGTGTGTTCGTTTGCTTCCGAGTGCTTTCTGCAGTTGCGCGGCTCGCCTTGCAGATGGTTTTGTTCCCTTTGAGGTCGAGGCCAAGTCGTGGACGACAATTTTGGAGTTGATCCCATTCGTTCGCGTCCCTGATCTCGTCTTCTACGCTGTGGCGGCGCACCTGGGGCAATTTCAGGATCACATCCTTCTATTATTGACCATTCCCCAGGTGATGTTGCATTGCGCAATTATGGCCGCTCAGTTGCCGGTGGAGGGTACCGCCGCAGAAGGGGAAGCAACCATGCGCGGGATACGCCCGCTCGAGGCAAACCAGGTGGGCCTAGTGTGGCGTAGTTTCGTGGCCCGCCCTGGTTTCGAGCTGCACGCGAAGAAAAATCCGCCAGCTCGTGCAGATTTGGCCGCAGTGCTGCTGGCATCTGATCGCCGTGGCAGACGACCAGGTGCGCGCCGAGCATTTGCACCGGAGCAGTTGCAAGTGCTGGCCACCAGACTGGGACAGCCAGAGGCCGCGGTCCATGGTCCACCACCTCGCTGCCGCGGACGAGGCTCTCTGGGACTACGCGTAAGGCACCGCGCTGCTGCGTGGGTCTCTCGTGGCGGCCGCGGCGCCCTCCGCTCGACCGAGGAGGCGGCCGCGGTGCTCCGGCTGGGCACCAAGCTGCCTTTTCGCAGCTCGCAGAGTTCGCGTGCCCGACGCCAGCCGCCACAGTCCCCGCCTCGCAGCAAGCCCGCCGCGAGCTCGAGAACGCACTCTGCGTCGGCGGCCTGCGCTCCGCTGCTACCGCGGTCGCCCGGCTGCCGCGCCCCTGCGCGCTGGGCAAGGGAATGGCTGTCTTCTGCGGTCGATGGATCTCGGAGCGGCCCGAGGCCCTCGCCGTGGCCCAGCAGTTTTGCGACAATACACTAGTCGGCCCAGAGCGCGATCTCGTCGAGGAGCGGCGCGCCCGACTGCGAAAATTTCAGCGCCTGCAGCGCCTGCGCGGAGGCGCCGGCGGAACCCGAGTGGGGGAAGCCGTCTCCGCTACATGCGGCGACCCGTGGACGTGCCTGCGCGACTGGTGCTTGATAGGCGTGCCGTAGGGCGTGGGGGTGCCCATCCCCATTTGCGGCATCTTCCTGGTCTTCTCGCAGTCGGACGGAAGGCACCACGACGGTGGATTGGCCTTGGCCTTGGCGCAAGGCGTGTTGAACTATCAGCCAATGGCCGACGAGTCAGAAGCTGCGGCTTCCGAGGTACACCGCTACCTGGCCAATGATTTCGCAGTCTCGATCACGGAGTTCACGGCCTTGCAGAGGTTCCTGGGTTTATCGGTGGCGCCGCTTTTCCGGGCCAAGCCAGACAAAACAGTCAAGCTGCACGTCATCGTCGATTTGAAACGGAGCAAGCCCGTTCTCGTCACCTCCCATGTCCGGGTGCCGGGGCGGCCCGCGCCCCCGCGAATCTGCGACGTCGCCCAGGACCCGCCTGTTCTCACTTGCGGCGCGGAGCCGACGATGCACGGCGATGAGAGCTGCGACATGAAGTTCTCCATTGCAGACTTGCCCGACGCGTGAATGCATGCGCAGACGCACCCAGATGAGCTACGCGACTGCGAGTCGTCCGACGTGGTGCTTGGACGTCTGCTGTTGTGGATCACGCAATGCTTCGGCTAATCTGGCGCCCGATCATCTGGTGCCGCGTGGCCGCCGCCCTCGCGAGGCTTGCGCAGTCCTCCGTCGAACAGAGCCACGCCCGCATGCAGCTGCACCTGGGCGACCCTATTTGCGCGCTCTGGGGCTCGCGCGCAGCGCGACCGACAACTCGGTCTCGCGCTTTGGATCCTCATCGACCAGGGTATCCGAATCGCGTGGCGCGGGGCCGTCCGTGGGCCCGCAGTAGTGCGGATCGGTGCTGCGATCGCTGCCAACGTTGCATCCGGCGAGATGACCGTCGCCGCCCGCGCCAACGGCGCCGAAAAAGCTGCCTGCGCTGCTCGGCCAGTTGGGCAACGGCGCCATGATCGGCCTCCAGGCGCTGGAGCATGGAGCAGTTCACCGGGCAGCACTTGCTCCTGGGTCGCGGGGCTGTTGCCGCGCATCCGCTGGGCCGTTGCCATCGTGCACGCGGCGGGGGCCCCGGCAGAGAGGGGCGTCCGATCGGGCGCGGAGGGGCGCAGGTGACAGCGGAGGAACTACCCGCGACCGAAGTGCGGCATGGTCGCGGCCAGGCGGGTCGATTTGCTTTCGCGATGGTTTGCGGCCCCCCGGCCAGGCGTGGAAGGGCGCGTGGCCAGGCGAGTCGCGCGGGACAGCGATCCACCAGTTGCGGCCATCATCGTCGATGCTTCTCCGTGGGGCCTCGGCTGAACATTGGCGCGCGCAGCCGCTGGCGGCGACGCGCTCGACGAGGGCGCGTCGCAGCTCCTCGGCCGGCGGGGGTGCTCCAGCGCCCGGCAGGCTGTGGAAGCGCTGGCGCTGTCGTCGTGATTGGCAGTCCCTGCTCAACTTCCCTGTCGATTAGTTAGGTTAGGAACTGATTTCCTTCGCCCCGAACCCTCTCCCTTGCGCTTCGCTACTTGTGTCTCGCGGGTCGGGTCCTCGGTGCGGGGGGTGCGAATGGGCCCCCGTGCCTGTCCCGACCTGCCTGGTGCCCCCTGCTGCACTTTTTCCGCTAGCTGGTATTGGCGATGGCGCGCTGACTGCTGGAAAGTGGAAGATCTTCATCTTCGCACGTTGATCTTCGTTGCCGAACTTACCAGCGGATGAGGGGATCGCCCCGTCGCTTGATTTTTGTCGCAGCCACCAGCAGGGTCGCGGTGCGCGCCTGCAGCGACGTGCTTGACGAGAACGCGCGCCGCTGCTCTTCACCCAGCGAAGGTGCTCCAGCGCCGGGCCGGCTTTGAAAGCGCTGGCGCTCTCGTCGCGAGCTGCAGTCCTTCCTTGCCTCCCTTGCCGACTGGGGTTTTACAGCGTGGTGTGCAGCCCGTTTAGTCATTGGCTCATTTCCTTCGCCCCGAACCCCTTCCCTTGCGTTTCGCCATTTGCGTCTCGCGGGTTTGGTGTCGGGGCGGGGGCGTGAGTGGCCCCTTTCATTTCGCCGTTCAATTTTCGTTGCCGCATTGAACGACGCATGCTCGGGGGTGATCGGCCCTTCGGCCAACCTCCCCATGCACGCCCGTCGAGTTTCCTCGCCGATGCCCCCCTCGCATGGCGAAGCCTACAGTCGATCCGCACGGCAAGGATGGGTAACCTTCCCAAGGATGCCCTTGCATGCTTGCCTCCCCGGTCCATCTTTAGCCACTTCCGTTGGCCGCGCCCCCCTCGAAGCCCTTCGAATTGGCCTTCCACGGCCTTGGGCCTTGCATCCTTATCGCGCATCCTTCTGATACGGGGCCGACTGTATCCTAGTGGGGAGTGCCCAGCGCCCGATCAACGCGTGGCGTCCAGAGTCGGGGCTGAGCCAGCGGGGCGAGGGTGCGCCTCCTGAGGCACGGGTCGGCCAGCCTCGCGGCCGCCCAGGCCTGGGCCGTTCGCTTGCGTCAGCCAGCCGCGCGGCCTGGGCTCGACGATTCAGGCCCGCAGGCCTTGCGGGCACTTCGGGGCCGAAGATTCGCGCTCCTGTGGGTTTAGGTTATCTTCGCCTGGACCAGGCTGGCCCCGCGGCCCTATAGGTCATCTCCACCTCCAAGAGGCTGGTTCGAACCCCACGGGTTCAGGTCATCGCTGCTTCCGCGGGGCTTGCGATTCGGGGCTCCTGGGCCTGGGTCGTCCTGCGCGGCGTCATCTTACCCAGCCCGTCCTACCTGGGCTAAGGTCATTTCCGCTTCCACGAGATGGGCCTAGGTCATATCCGCCATTTGCGAGCTGATGGTTCGAACCCCATGGGCCAGGGTCATTCCCGCTTCCACGATGCGTGTGATTCGGGCCCCATGGGCCTAGTTTTTTTTTCCGCTTTCACAAGGCTGATGTTTCGGGCCCCACGGGCCTAGGTCGTTTCGCTTTCACGAGGCAGGTGATTCGAGCCCCTGGGCTTTATTCACCCTCGCCTTCACCAGGCAGATGATTCGTGCGCCCTTGGGCTTAGGCCATCTCCGCCTCCACGAAGCCCATGATTCGGGTCCCGTGGGCCTAGATCATCTCCGCCTCCACGAGGCTGATGGTTCGAACCTTACGGGCTTAGGTCATCACCGCCTCCGCGAGGCTCACGATTCGGGCCTCCTGGGCCTGGGTCGTCATGCACGGTGTTATCTTAGCCAGACGTCCGTGCAGGACTTGGCGCATTCGGTTTGAGAAAAAGGAAATTGCGACGCCTCTCTCGCTCCCTCTGGTCCGCATTGACGGTGGCAGAAAGCGAGCGTATTGTCGTTTATGATGGTTATGATGATGATGATGATGGTGGTGGTGATGATGATGTTGATGATGATGTTGCTGATGATGACGATGATGTTGATGATGCTGATGGTGATGCTGATGATGACGATGATGATGCTGACGATCATGGTGATAGTGATGATGATGATGACGATGATCATGCTCATGATGATGCTGATGATGGTGTTGTTAGTGCTGCTGATAATGATAATGACGATGATGATGATGATGATGATGATGATGATGATGCTGATGATGACGATGATGTTGTTGTTGATGATGTTTTTGGTGATGATGATTGTGCTGCTGATGATGCTGCTGATGATGATGCTGATGATGTACATGCTTCAGATGATGTTGATGATAATGATGCCGATGCTGCTGATGCTGCTGATGATGATGGTGATGGTGATAAGGATGAAGATGAGGATGATGATGAGGGCGAGGGTGAGGGTGGGGCGGAGGAGGACGAGGAGCAGGAGGAGGAGCAGGAGGAGGGGGAGGACGAAGAGGAGGAGGAGGAGGAGGTCGAGGAGGAGGGTAAAAGAAGACCATAGTATACCCAATATGCATCAACGTCAACGATGATGCAACACACCCTTCCATACATGCTTATTGTTACTACCAGAAGTGCCCCCTTGCAAGACCAGCCCCTGTTGGCCTGCCATCCAGGTGAGAGCGTCGCTTTGCAAATGAACTTGTAAGGAATGCGCAAGCGAAGGCTCATACAATTCAGCAGGGTGTCCAGCGACATCCCCGTTTTGGAAATGGACCGTTCCCATCAGTGAAATTAATGAACATGCTTACGCGTCTGGCCGTGCACTTCGAGGACGCCTGCAGCGAGAGCTCCATGTTGGCAATGAGGCGTCCTAAATTCGTAGCTGGATCATATGTTCAGATTTCTGGTCATTCGGAAGTTTATGGAGGTCTCAAGCAATAGCTCCATTTGGAAAAGGAAAACGTTCTCCATCCCCGTAGCCAGTCAGTCGTTTCAAGCAGAGTGTGCGCGGCGTTAAGGCGAGAGTCCTATTTAATCGAGCCGCCCGCCATCAGTGCAGCTGTTGCTTTTTTTAAACGTTCAATGTCATGAATGATGAAGAAGTTTCGGGCGAAATGCCCAGCCCGCCCTACCGACACGTCTCTGGAGGTGCGACAGGGAGGAGGAGAAGAAGGAGACGAAGGAGGAGGAGGAGGACGACGAGGACGAGGAGGAGGAGGACGACGAGGAGGAGGAGGAGAAGGAGGAGGAGGACGAGGAGGAGATGAAGGAAGTAGGAGGGGAACGGGTAGGAGGGTGACGAGGCGGAAAAGGAGCAGGGGCAGGGGAGGTTCGAGGCCGCGGCTGCCGCCGCCAGCGCCGTCGTCGCCATCGCCGTCGCTGTTGCCGCCAGCACCGTCGGTGCTGCTGGCGCAGTCGTTTCTGTCGTTACCGTCGTTGCCGTCGTCGTCACAGCCGTTGCCGCCGCCGCCGCCGTTACCGCCGTCGCCGCCGCCGCCGTCGTCGCCGCCGCCGTCACCGCCGTCGCCGCCGCCGTCGTTGCCGCCGTCGTTGCCCGCCGTCGTTGCCGCCGTCGTTGCCGCCGTCGTTGCCGTCGCCGCCGCGGTTGCCGCCGCCGCCGCCGTCGTCGCCGCCGCCGTCGTCGCCCTTCTCGTCGTCGGCGGGCTGGGCAGGGCGCGCTCGGGCCGGGCAGGTTCGTGATCGAGCAGGCCCAGTCCGCAGCCGTGGCCATCATCTTCGGCGCGATGACGTACGGCTGCGCGGGGCGGGTGGCGAAGCGGGCGGCGGCGGCGGCGGCGGCGGCGGCGACGACGACGACAACGACGACGACGACGACGACGACGACGCCGCCGCCGACGACGACGACGACGTCAGGAGACGCGGGCAGGCGACGGCGACGGCGACGGCGACGGCGACGGCGACGACCACAACGTCCAGCAGACGACAGGGGATGGCGACTCCGACGGCGGCGACGCACTTCCCCTTCTCCTCCCCCTGCTCACTTTCCTTCCTCGTCTACCTTTTTCGCCTCCGCTTGGAATGGTAGCTCCTTGTCCAGTGCCCTGTTGCCTTGCCTCTGCCCAATCGTATCCCCTTGCCACTTTGACGGGTGTGGGTCGGGTCATCCGTTGTGGCTGTTTGGTTCAAGGGATTCCTGACCGCGCCCGTTCGATATGTGCTATACATCGCCCTACAATTTTCCTCACTTGCGGAAAACAATATTTCACATTTTGCACCTTTTATTTTAGTTGGTAGCGGAGCAGTTTCGCCCGTGTTCCAATACCATTGCCGCCATGTCCCGTTCGCATCGATAGCCATGGTTTCCACCTTCCGTCGCTCTACATCGCGACGCCTGCACGATACGTCACTTAACGGTACGTCAGGGCTGGGCCAGCCCATCCGCAATAACACTACGGCGTGCCGATTCGCATCCCGCTCTACATCCGCCTTCAGCATCATCGCGTTCGTGCACGTCTTCCCGTTCAGTGCGACGGAGACGTTACTCGAGGGTCCGTCGGGGCATCCGCCCATCACCCAGGACCAGTGAACGATAACGTGCGCAACCAGTAGTTCATCAAGGACAACAGTACCAAGATCTACAAGGACCGCTGTGCCACCTTTCCCGGGCATGTTCGCACTGTGTCTGGGCAGCTCGCGGACCCTTCATTGTCAGTGCACCCGCCCAGGCGTTAGACAATGGCTCGACACGACGCTCACATTAGTAGTGCCAGAACGGGGCCCCGACCTTTTCGAAATTGTGTCTCGCGAGCCCTAAGAGGAACAAACAAAAATGAAATCCGGCGATTGCGTCGCCAGTGCCCAACTGGGATGCAGTGAGAGTGAAGAATTTGTGCTTTCACCCCCCCGAGATCATGCAGTGGCGGGCAAGGGCTGGGACGCCATCGTTCCGAGGCACCGCGCCTCGGGACCCGACCTTTCGCTTTGCCTTTTCAAGCCCGCCAACCGGGCAGGACCGGATCCGGACGCGCATTCCTCCTAGACGATCGTGCAACTGGCGGTATTCAGCGCAGCCACCGCGCGGCGCACGAACAGCATTCCCATGAATGTGTCGCGGGATGCCCCGAGCGCCGTCAGCCATGCAGTGGCTCGACAAAAGCAGACGCCCAATGTGCTGACGAGGAGGAAGACATCCGGGGCAAGTACCCCCGGCATTCATGCGACTCCGATCGAGCACCCCCGGCCCCCAGCACTTCTACGACATGTGGAGGGAGCTACATTCCGGATGGGAGGCAACCGGAGTCGGCACGCTCGCTATCGCAAGCTGCGTCGCCTGCATGGGTGCAGGCGGTGGCAGCGGCAACATGCGCCACCTCCGCACCCGCGGGACCGGGCGCCAGGCTCGCGCGCCGCTCGCGCGGGGGGGCCAGCGCGAGAGGGAGGCTCGCGCGAACGCATCGGCCCAACTTGCGCTCCTCGGCCCGTGGCCGGGGGCGCCAGGAACGGCGATCCATTTCAGAGCGCTGGCCCTTGGGCCGGCAGACGGCCGACTTGCAGCGGCTACTCCGAGTTCGTCGAGCGGCTCGTGGCAAGCGATTGGCCGCCACCATTGGCCAATTTGGGCAGGGGCGTCGTCGTCGTCCTCGCCCTCTCCGCGCGACGCCGAGCTTCGACGACAACGGCGGGAGGTGGCCGACCTCGTGGGCCGCGCGCGAGCCTCTGCAGCGCCGGCGGTGCGAGTGACTGCGTCGCCGGGCCGTCGGGCAGAAGCCGGGGGTCGCCGCCGGCCGCGCCGGCTTCAGGAACGCCAGCAGCGCACGCAGCTCCAGCGGCCTCCACAGCACCACGACCACCAACAACATCACAGTGGTGGGCGCAAGTGTCGCCGAGCGCGTTCCACCACTCGCGGAGTACCTACTCGCAAACACCCCAAAAAACACATGTCTGCTTTGATGTAATTTATCGTAGATCCCCTGTGGCGGACCCAGGCCATTTGCGAGTGGCAACTTTGCGAGTAGTGGAATGCGCCTGTCTAAAGTGGGCTGCGCGTTCCCGCTGGGAGTTGCCAGGGGCGCGACTGGATGGGCGACCTCGCCGCGCGCGTCGCCGCGCCCCCAGCCCAATCTCCCAACGTGCAGTTGCCGAGGTGGGCTTGCGTGTTTTCAGTCTTGGCCCTCGGCATCAGGGCGTCGCGTGGATCGAGCTCCGCCTGGTCGCCGCAGTCCACGTCGGCGGCAACGTTGCCGCGAGTGCCGGAGTCTGCCCAGGACTTGGCTCTGGTCATTCAGAACAGCCCCGTCGACGTGGGCCGACCGCCCGGGAGAGAGGCCGCGCGACGTGGCTCGCCGGCCGCGACGCCTGGATGTCCGGCGGCGGCCGATCCGAAGGCGACGCGCGCGCCGCCCTCGATGGCGCGCAGCGACGGCACTCAGAGGCGCATTTTTATCATTATTATATGAAACGAGTTGTGGGTGGGAGAAAAGAGCGCGATGTCCGCCTTGGCCCCCGTCGGACGAGCGGAAACGCGAGCGCAGTGGCGCGCGTGGTCGCGCGCGACCCGCCGTTGGTAATAGCGCGAATGCGCGGGCGTCGCGGCGTCGACGACGGCGACGGCGACGGCGGCTGCGGCGCCTGCGCCGACGGCGACGACGACGGCGGCAACGGCGACGGCGGCGACGACGACGAACATCGCGGCTACGGCGGCGACGGGGCCCGGGCCCACGGGCGAACTTGCGCCCCGCCTTCGCCCCCGGGGCCCCGCGCCTAATTGCGCGGGGGGGGGGGGGATTTTTTGCGCGCCTTTCCCCCCTGCCGCCCCTTCGCCTTCCCAGGGCTCGACGCTTTTTTAGGGGTGTATCGAGCGGCGCGCCTTTGCTAGAACCGCTTCTTCGTTGTAGTTAGACTGTTTCCTCTCTTTAGTAAAACCGCTTCTTCGCTTTACTTAAGCCGCTTTTTTTCCTCGCCGTAGCAAAGTCCGCGATTTGCCTCGGCGCCGCCCCGGGGGCGCGGCGGCGGCGCGAGGCCGGGGCCGGGTCGGGGGGCGGGGGCCCTTGTCATTCCTGCCAGTTCACCCCGCGATGCATTTGCTCGAGTAATCAGGGTCGCGTTGCTTCCGGTCGCGGCGTCCCTCGGGCGCGTTTCCAGCGAGTTGCAGATGCTCCTTGACGAGGGATTCAGGGCGTGAGCGCAGGGCGTGGCTCGGAAATTGCATCGCGCCGCCGCGGTTGCCCCGCAACGGAGCAGCATCGCTTTAGTAATAGGCTTGTCTGCTTTTCCAGTTTGCTCCTTCAAGGTAATACTGCGGATCTTCGGCTTCCATGGCGCCTCGACGAGCTCCGCGGCGCAAAGCTTGCGCTGGGGCTCGCGCGGCGCCGGGCCGCGCTGCGCTGGGCGGAGGCGCCTGTTCGCCCTCCTCCCGCGACGACCGCTGCGCCGACTACTCCGCCACGACGTTCAGCGGTGGCGATAGAGGGTGCCCAATCTGCCTCGAGGACTTCCAGCGCGGCGAGCGGATGGTACGCTTGCTGCGCCGCCGCACCTTGCATCCAGCGTGCCACCTGCAACTCTTGCGGAGCACAGGCGCCCGCTTGATGGATGATGCTTGATGTGCTGGTCCGGCGCGCCGCGGACAGACCGACGTCATTGCCGAGTTCCGCTTCGTTGGCGCGGATCGTGCGCCGACGGTTCCCGCGCCCCTAGCGCCGGCCCGTGCGGCTGCAGACAGTGCGCCCGCGGTTCCGGCAATTGCGTCGCTGGCTCGCGCGGCGTCGGGCAGGGGCGTGCAGGTGTAGATCGCGCCGCAGCAGGGCCCTGCGATGTCCCCGGCCGGCCCCCTGCCCCGGGGCGCCCCAGCCAGACCTCGTGCCGGCCGCCAGGCAGTGCGTCCAGCTTCTCGTCCGAAGTGGGCGCGTCGGCGCCCTGCGACGCCTGGCTGGGCGCGCGCGCGCCGCCGCGCAGGCCGACGTTCCCGTGGTGGCCGACCTCGTCGAGTACAGGTTCGAGCCCATCAAGCGACGCGCCGCGCTACCTGGCGAGCGCCGGCCTGCCAGGTGGCCGGTTAACGTAGGCGTCGCAGTCGACGCGGGCTCCAGGGCCGACCTCTGGGGGCCGCGTCTCGACGTGAATCTGGCGCGCAAGGCGTTGGAAGCCAAATTGCGGCTCTCCAAGGAGAAGTTGTCGCCCCTATTTTGCGGTGCCGGCGACGGGTAGCAGGTGGCGAACTGCGACGTTCACTGCCCGATCGCAGCGACTTCCCGCGACGGCGCGACCAGTCAGTGCAGCGCGTGTGCCCCAGCCGTGGAGGGCGCAGGTGCTCGCCCCCCTGCCTCGTCAGGTCTGCAGTCCGCGCAGTCCAGCGACGGGGCGGTGGAGAGGCGCCGACAGGAAGCGCCTCGCGTTTCTCGGGCCAGGCGGCTGCGAGATCACCGCGCGGGGCCCCGGCGCCGCCCTTTTCGACCTCGCGTCGGCGCCGAGCGGCCATCCGCGCATCCCTGTCGACGACTGCGACGAGCTCAGGTTGCGCTCCCGGGACCTGCCGCTCATGCAGCTCGCGCCGCTGGCGGCGGGCAACGACGACTGGGATTCCCGCGCCGCCGACGGCCGCGTGTTCCAGAAGCTGAACGTCCAGCTCCTCGGCACCAACGCACGGGCGCCCTCGCGGGGCACGCCCAGCGTGGACAGGGTCATCTTTGACTAGGGTCAGCTTGGGCGTCGGGATCGCCGCGGGGGCATCTTGAGGAAGACCAGTGGACCGGTCTCCAACGCCCTGGAGATCTTCGAGCAGTTTTCCGACCTCCACTGCCCAGGCGTGCGCGCTGGTCCGCGTCGATGGTCGCAGCAGCTTCGACGCCCGGACTTGGCCGTGGAGGATGGCCGAGCCACTCGTCCAGAGCGCAGTTCCGTCGCTGTTTGCGGCGCCGCGTCTCGCGAACTACGTCACCAAATGCGGCGTTCGATCAGTCACCTTCCCAGCTGCGGCTGCGGGCCCCGCTGAGGGAGAGATCGCGCGCGAAGTTGCCGATCACGCGCGCTACGCATGCAAGGCGCGCAAGCGCAACGTGCGGGTCTTCCCAGCGATCAGCAAGTTCAGCTACCAAGCAGCGCAGACCTCGGAGCATCAGACGAGGCTGCTGCACCACGCGCGCCCGCAGGAGGGCCAGGAGCCAGCTCGGCATCCAGCGCTGGAGCTCAAGGTACGGGTTCGGGCGATTGTGCCGCTCGACGGGGGATCCGAGCCAGCGCAGCGCGTCGGGTAGCGCCACGAGTTGCCGACGCGGCTGCAGGCGACCCAAAGCCCTTAGACTGGACTCGCTTCGACATCACTTCCTCCTTTCGGGCACTTCGCAGTGACTCGCATGGAGCACGCATGCAGGAGCTGCGCGCGTTACACCTCCGGTGGTGGCATGCCGCCGAGGAGGAGATGACGCGAGCACTGCGAGCAGCCAATTTACCGCAGGATATTCTCAACTTCACCCCCACGGTGGTCAACAACTGCAGGGAGTGCCGCAAGTGACTACCGCCAACTCGAGACCCTTCCTACACTCCGCCTGTCAACATGATTGATTCAAGCAGCACGTCGAGCGCGACATCCTTCTTTACAAGGATCGCATTATATTCCATCTGATCTGTTGCGCCTTTCAGTGGCATGACGGCCAGGAGGTCACGTCCAGGAACGACTCGACGCTGCTTGCCACCATCGACCGCTCATGGTCCAGCTGTTCGGCTTTGATCGTGGGCGGCGAGGGCGGGATGACTTCAATGTACTTCCTGGAGGAGATGAAGATGAGAGGGGTGCAGGTTGACAGACGTGCTCCGCGCCAGCACGCTCGTTTCGTCGATCGCCGCGGGACCATCTCCTCGCTCTCCCCCTCCCCGCTCCCCCTCTGGGAGGCAGGATCCGGACCGCCGCGCGGCCCCCCTTCCCGACCGGTGGCACCCCGGGCCCCCGCTAACCCGCCCCAGGGGCCGCGGACACCATGACGTACTACTCGTCGAGGTGAAGGCGCGTGGCCAGCCAAGTGACGAGGAGGAGGAGGCGGAGGAGGAGGAGGAGGAGGAAGAGGAGGAGGAGGAGGAACATGAGTAGAAGTAGGAGCAGGAGGAGGAGGAGGAGCAGGAGCAGGAAGAGGAGGAGGAGGAGGAGGACGAGGAGGAGAAGGAGGAGGAGGAGGAAAAGGAGGATGACGGAGGAGGGAGGAGGATAGAGGAGGGAGAGGAGGAGGAGGAGGAGGAGGAGGAGAGGAGGAGAGGAGGAGGAGGAGGACGAGGAACGATGACGAGGAGCGAGGACGAGGACGAGAGGAGGAGGAGGAGGAGAGGAGGACGAGGACGGGAAGGAGGAGGAGGAGGAGGAGGAGCAGGAGGAGGAGGCAGGAGGAAAAGAGGAGGAGCGTAGCAGGAGGCAGGAGGAGGAGGAGGAGGAGAGGAGGAGGAGGAGAGGAGGGAGACGAGTCGAAGAAGACGAGGGCGATGAGCAGGGAGGAAGGAGGATGGTAGAGGAAGAGTAGGGAAGGAAGTGGAGTGGTACTAGGAATGCTGGATGAGGAGGAGGAGGTAGGATGTGAATATGTTGGTGGTGGAGGGCAGGATGAGGAGGAGAGGTGAGGGGTGATGGAGGAGGTAGGGATGGCGGAGGGATGGAGGAGGGAGATTAGGGGGGAGTGGAGGGAGGGAGGAGAGGGAGAGTAGGGGAGGGCGGGTGAGAGGGAGGAAGGAAGGGAGGGAGGGAGGAGGAGTAGAATGATGAGGAGGAGGGGGGGGAGGAAGGAGGGGAGGAAGGAGGGAGGAGGGATATTGGTGAGCCCCTTGCCGTTTGGCCCCATCTGGGGAGGGTCAAGGTCGATGAGGTCGGTCTCGGCCATGTCCTTTGCCCGTTCCTATGGTAGTGCCGCGATGAGAGCCCTCGTCTCTAGCGTCTCCCTCGGGTTGTCGTCGCGCTTGGTCTATTTCCAGATGGCGTTACGCCAGTGGGGTAGGTGAACCGGTCTGGCGGACCAGTGACCTGCGGGGGTCGTTGGCGTCCGCCTCAGGTCGGTTCTTGCCGAAGACGCTCCTCACAGCGTCGGTTCAGCTGGTGCTGGGATGCGTTGTACTGGGTATTCATCCATCTTCTTGGGGTGTTCGCTGGAAAATGCACTGGTCCCACTTCCAGTGCCGCGTAGGTGAACTCCTTGGTGAGCACCTCGGAGCCCAAGTGTGCCAGGACTGGTGATCGTGCCGCGGGTGCTGCGAAGGATGGGTCTCGTCTTGCGTTTTCAGGTGGCTTGTACTCGAGTAGCTTTACTCCCGGTCGTAAACGTTGGTAGTGAAGGACCCTTCGGATGGTCATGCTGTTGGAGTTCATGTTCCGCGCTTGGTGCGATGTCCTCACGGCCGTGCTTCTGCAGCTGCGCAACTCTTTCCGCGTTCTGCGAGGTGTGTTTTTTGGTGCCTTCGGTAATCTTGATCTCTGCTTTCTTGGCGAAGGTGATCTTGGGCAGCAAATGGCAGACCTTGTACTTGATGATGGCGTCGTAGCATTCACTGCTATCTTTCAAGGACCTGCCGAATTGTAGGTCTACCGCAGGTCCCATCGGCACAGCGAATTGTTGTGGCGCGAGGCGCCGCGGGGGTCTAGAAGGAGTCGGTGAAGCCGAAAACTTGAGCCAGATGTCTGCGGTGAGGTGGTTCACGTGATTGATGAGAGATTGCCATTGGACCCGATGATTATTCTTATCCCTAGGCTGAGTTCGTAGTATTTGGTCAGGTGGGTTCGGAGCTGCCCCCCAGGTCAGGCGTGCGAGAACCCCTGACTCGCGTAGCTCAGTTTGTCGATTGAGGTATCGCTTGTCAACGGACATGCCCCAGTTATGGTGGGCCGCACCTGGTAGTTCCTCCCCCTCTTGCCGCATAAACTGCTCAGATTCCCTGATTTCCCAGTCGGTATCATGGTCTATTGGGTGGGTAGCTGTCCCCCAGCTCAGGCGTACGAGAACTCCAGGTCGGTGTAGCTCAATTTGTGGTCGAGGTAGCACTTTCCAGGAGACATGCCCCGAGTGACGGTGGGCCGCACCAGGCAGCTATTTCTGTACCCATCGCTCCCATGGTCTTCCGATATAGAAGAGGCCAGTGGGTCATGCAATCGGTGCTCTTCTGAAAATCACAGTCGGGGTCTATTGGGGTGTGGAACTGTATGTACACGTCGTTGATTTCCCACTTGTTGGTATTCTCATTCTCGTTCCATCGCAACCGCACTGCTTCGCCAATAGCCGCTGCCAGTGTCTGGTTCACGTGGCTTGGGTATGTCTTGGCGGCTGCGCTCCGCCGTGTCCCGTCTTCGTCCCGTCCCAGCAGTGGTGGGTGTGCGCCATGCCCCTGCTTGCATCCGCATCTGTTGGGTGTTGCAACTATTCGCGCTGTGAGGCCTGGTACTCCGACCACGAGCAAGCTGGTTGGTTTCCGAGACATTTGGCCCATCATGCAGTGGTCGAAGGGCACGAGCGGTACGACAGGTCGTTGTAGAAGGTGAAGTACGTAGTTCTGGTAGTTGGCAGTAGCCAGCTGCTCGTGGAAGTAACATGGGTGTCCTCAGCAATTGGTTGCCCAGGTCAGCAATTGGTTGCCCAGGTCGATCTGGTTGCTTTCGTGGTCGGTCACGTAGTTGAGCCCCATATGGTTGTTCTCTGCTACGTACTAGTCGTGGTTGTCTGTGAGCGTCAAGTAGTTCCCTTGTCCTTGCTTCGCTCGATGTCTCACAAGTTGGGCCCGCTATTAGTGATCCAACTTTTCTGTCGTAAACTTGTTGGATCAAGAAGGCTACGGTGTCCCAATTGATGATGTCGCCTTCGGTGGCGTGGTTAGTGATGTCGATGGAGAGCACACGCGTCTGCGTGCTCTCTGGTGGAAGTACTCCATCTATTATTGTAAGTCTCCCTCTCGTCGCTTCCCACTGTAGAGTTGCAGGGTGAAGCGTATCGGTCTCCCTGCGTTTGTGGGATGGTATGGTTCTCGGCCGCGGGGCCGACATCGGTCTCGACTGTTGGTTTCTGTCGTGTGTATCCTCTTTGTCCTTGGCAAACCTTTGGGACGATGTCGGTCTTGTAGCTCAGCAGGTGGGCGTAGTCGGGTGGCTTTCCCTCCTTGATGCTGGTGCGCTGTGTTTCCAAGATGTCCTGTCGGTTCTTCTCCGTTAGGTCGTCGTCTAATTGAGGAATGGCCTCCATCCATTGTATCGCGCATGATGGTGTTGCGTGGACATGTTTCACCAGTCGAGCGTAGGTATGGTATTGCCCACTGCATGTCGGGCATATCGTGCCTTGTGCCCACCTGGTTGGGTGGGTCCCACTTTGTTGATGCTTGCCGAGGTTCGCGTAGTATGCGATCTTCTCGATTGAGGTGGTTCCGCACTGGTAGCACGTCAGGTTTTACTTGGGTGGTGGTGGAGGCATTGTCGGTTTCGGCGGCATGGTTTCCATGTTCTTGTACGGCTCGAGCTCGTTGTGTTATCGTTCCTGGGTAGCGCGGTTTTGTTGCCGTTGTGGGTGCCAATGTGTGGCCTTCTTGCCCGTGGCCCGAAATCGTGCAGGTGTCTCTCGGACAGCGCGCACAATTTCGGGTAGGTCCAGTGTGGCTGCGTGTTGCTCCTCTTGGCTGAGGTTGTCATAAACCATTCAAGGTCCTGTCCGATCTTCGCTGTCCAGCTCGTAGTGTGCATTGCATCTTTATCAAGTAGCCGTAGAAGGGCGGTGAGACCGTGAAG